ATCGCAAAGAGTTGGACATGACTAAGCGACTGAACTGAACTGAGGACCTGAGTAATTCAGCTCCTGCCTTGGGAAGTAGCAACCTCGGATGCACTTCTTTTCACTATAGGTTTTATAAGGAAAAAACAAACCACTTTGGAACGAATAACTCGGTGATTCAAGAGTGCACTCTGAGCAGCAGAGTCCCGGGAAGGTAGGAAGGATCAGAAGGCGCAGGTCGTCTGGGGCACGCGCTCCTATGCCGCTGAGGCTGGGGGAGCACAGAGCCAGAGGCAGGCGGGGCGGAGCTCTGGGTGGAGATGCTCTTTGCTGTCTTCTGGAGCACGAGTTGTTGCGGGTTCCTGTGGAAAGCTCCCTCTCCACTGGTTGGAAATCCACTACTCCAAAAGAGAGACCTCTTTCACAAACAGTGAATATTATTTGCAAAAGTGGAAAAACAGCTTGAAGGAAATACATTTTTCTTTATTTTTCCCCCCCAAGGGCAGAAGGGGAAAAACACAGAGAGCAAAACTGTATAAATCCTGCATTAAGGGTTCCTGGTATACCTCACTACAGTTGCTTTCGACTAAAAATTTGGTAATATTGGCATATTAAATCTTTTCAGCTCACATGAAGGATAAAATGAATCTTTGAGCCCTAATAGCATTTCTAGCTTGGGAGTTGCTCTGGGAAAAGCAGTGTGCTATTATTATGAATCTACTTAAGACATATGGATAATCCTGTAGGTCTGCCAAAAACTTTAGAATAATTTCATGTGCTGAATATAACTCTTCAAATTATTTATTTCCGAGATGTTTTTACAGCAAAGCAAGATTGTATGACATGATCCAGATGATGTGTTTAAGTAGTCCCTGAAACAGTTGCTTTTACTTTTGGAATGTCCCTCAGTCTGACGTTTCATCAAGATTAAAATCAGGGATATGCCTTTTCTTGGACAACAGTGCCCCAGAAACGGCACCCTGCTCTTCACACCACATCAGGGCATGCATGCTGGAGACACGTCTCACTGCTGGGGAGGCTTGTCTTGGTGACCTGGTTAATGTGATGCCTGCCAGGTTTTTCCACTGTAAAGTTATTATCTTATCCTTTGCAGTTAATAAATATCTTATGGAAAGATACTCTAAGGCTGTGCACATATTTCCTTTCTCATTATACTGTAGACTATTAGATGTAACATTCGCTGATGCTAATTGCCTGAAATAATTATTACTGGAGTGTTTGCTAAATGGTGATTTCTATTTCAATCATCCCTTCTGTTACGTTAACTGCAGTTCTACTGCAATGAAGAAGACATAATTCTTAATACCCCTTACAAAGCCTGATGCCATAGGGCAGGGCTAGTAATCCTTGCATTTCTACTTCCAAACACAGTAGCTGGATACACCTCCCTCTGCTATTACAAGTCATCACAATAGTGTCATAAGAACAAAAGAAAAAAAATAATAGAAGATGATACAGGAGGAGCAGGAGAATGGGGAGGTGACAAAGAAGAGAAGGAAAAAGCAGAGCAGTGGAGAATGGACACGTCTTGATTCCTCAGTTGAGAAACCTGTTGTTCAGTTGCTAAGTCATGTCCGACCCCATGGACTGGAGCACGCCAGGCTTCCCTGTCCTTTGCCATCTCCCAGAGTTTGCTCAAACTCACGTCCATGGAGTCAGTGATGCCACGCACCTATCCTAGCTGACGGGACATGCTCTGCAGAGAGACTGGGATTTTTCATCTTGACTCATCTCTGTGCAACATCATTGGTCCTATTTATCTACCTTCTCCCTCTCAACCTCTCCATCCCCTTTCTTTCAACCTCTTCTGATCCCTTCTTAGTACTTCAGACACAAAATACTAGCACAGATTAGACTTTCTTCACCTCTCGCTATGGATAAACAAAAATCATCGTTGAGGGGAAAAAGACAAATTTGAAATCACTATGCCTTTCCACGGAGCCAGACACCCCCGAGAGGCGTGTGGTGCTGGTGAACAGTCCCCAGCCTCCCACCCACGCTCAATAAGCAGTAGGCCGGGCTGCCTTTTCGTTCTGGTCTGACAGATGCTCTTCTTGCAGATAATAATAGCAAACATGTACGGGTGCCCACTACACACCACGGCTGCTCTCGTGGCGGCAGGTGCAGAATTTTACTTGAACCTCCAACCACAGTGTGAGATACACATCTCCACTCCGCAGACAAGCATGATGACACAACATGGCCTTTAAAACCATGTAAGGTCTCGTAGGTTGTTAAGAGTCGGAGCCCACTGACTCCAGAGCACTCCTTGGCACTGGCCACGCGGCTCCCCGACAAGAAGGCCACCCAGTGGGGCAGGCAAGCTCCGCAACCTTCCAAGCGTCACCATCAACTACATAAGAACTGTTTTTCACTCATCAGAATGTCAAAAATATCATGAAAGGGCTAGAAAGAGCATTCTCATGTCTTTGATCATTCAGTTCAGTCGCTCAGTCGTGTCTGACTTTTTGTGACCCCATGAATCGCAGCACGCCAGGCCTCCCTGTCCATCACCAACTCCCGGAGTTTACTCAAACTCATGTCCATCGAGTTGGTGATGCCATCCAGCCATCTCATCCTCTGTCGTCCCCTTCTCCTTTAGCCTTCAACCTCTCCCAGCATTGGGGTCTTTAGATAGCATATTAAAAAGCAAAGACATTACTTTGCCAACAAAGGTCCATCTGGTCAAGGCTATGGTTTTTCCAGTGGTCATGTAGGGATGTGAGAGTTGGACTGTGAAGAAAGCTGAGCACCGAAAAATTGACACTTTTGAACTGTGGTGTTGAAGAAGACTCTTGAGAGTCCCTTGGACTGCAAGGAGATCCAACCAGTCCATCAGTCCTGGGTGTTCATTGGAAGGACTGATGCTGAAGCTGAAACTCCAGTAATTTGGCCACCTCATGTGAAGAGTTGACCTGTTTATTGAATGGTTATCAAGAATAGACTTTGTTCAAACACTGAATACTTATATCCAGTTAGTGGAGACTGTATTATTTCTACTTTGCAAATAGGCTGTGGTTTAAAGCTCTAAGATAACTTCCCCAAAGTAATATGTATATTTAAGTGGTCAAGCCAGGACTCGATTGATGCCAGACTTACTTATTCCAAACTCTGTTTATAATCATTTTACTCTATTGACTAATAAGCATTTTCTTTGGAGGTTGACCATAATTAATAAAAATAAGGTACTAATAAGCTGGAGGAATGATCATTTGGTCTTTACTGATTCAAAAGCCAGAATTGGACTATCTCAACAATGAGGAAGTAAGCACAAACACACAAATATACTTCTGCCTCCAGAAGCTCGCTACGGATTTCTTTTGTTTATCAGTTTCCTGAGGCCATGAATCTCAGGTGAATGGATGGATATGCCATGTGACTTCAGTAATTTTTAAAAGGCAGCAAATTATTAACTGAACATAATCAGTTCTATCTGCCAGCATCTGTCTAGATCTTAAGAAACTGTGTGGGGAAATGGTGTTTCTAATTTCACCGTAACTCTTTCGCTGCTTAAGGTTTAATTTTTTCACATTTATTTTCAGATCTCATCCAGTACTAGCCACACCTCAAGTAAACTCTTGGGTAACTTTCCAAAGTGGCTGGAGACTCCCTGCTCCACTTGGAAATAAGCCTCTTTCTCCTACACACGTGGGCAGTTCTGACACACCCTGTACTTGTGGATTGTGTTTGCATGTGATTAACAGAACTGCATTTTAATTCAAGCGACTGCTCAAGGCCCTGTAAAAGCCAGTTTATCTATCTCACTTAAAATTTTTGTGTGCAATTTATGTCACTGATGGAGAGCGATATTATATACTTCAGATCTCCCTTAGAGGTGTACCATTGATAATATGTCATCTTTCTCTTCAAGTCCTGTACATCTCAACTTCCGTGAATTCTTTAAAAGGTCACTTGATTTCCCGAACTTCTTCAGGGAGTTTAAGAACTCCCAAGCTCCTCTGGTGGCTCAGACAGTAAAGAATCCTCCTGCAGCGTGGGAGAGTTGAGTTCCACCCCTGGGTTGGGAAGATCCCCTGGAGCAGCGCATGGCAACCCACTCCAGTATTCTTGCCTGGAGAATCCCCACGGACAGTGGAGCCTGGCGGGCTACAATCCACGGGTGGCAACGAGGCGGACACGACAGAGAGACCAAGCACATAGGCACAAGTTAACCGCAGGTCACTAAAAGGTTCTCTGACATGTCTTTAGTATTTTGTTTGAAGAAATGAGACTTTGTTAGATACACATCTCTCTATTCTTTAGGATTCCTTATAAATGGGACACACACAATACACACAATATGTATCGGCGACAGTTACATACATATAAAGTTCTTCATTTTATCTGTTGGGTAAGACAGAGGTATTTGATCTCAGAACCTGGCTCCGTTAGGCAAACCAAACCCTTTCTAGCAAATGAAAGCTGCAGTTTGCTCCCCATTTCCTCTCCTGGAAACATTCAAAGAAAGTTGATTGGAACAAAGTCCAAATCTGCAGTCAGGAGTAAACTTTGAGAAACAAATGCTTTTTTTTTTTACCAAAGGCAGAAAACTTTGGAGTTTTATACTGGCTGAATTGACATGTACAACCACAAATCAAATGTAGGTAAAAATGTTTATACATGCTTGATCCATAATTCACCACTGACTGGGTGCATTTCTAAAGAGAAAAACCTCATCATAAAATCGGACCTAAAATATTCATATGGGGATTTCCAAAATAGCATAGAGACAGCATATATTTGATATCAAAATGTAGAAGGAGAAGAAAGAGAATGGTCAAGTTAGGAACAAGATGATAGGAAAAGTGTGACTTCCCACTAACACAGATTTTATGCATTTATTATTCTTCAAAGAGTGTAGAAGAAGCCCTGAACCAGAAAGCCTGCTGGGCATTTCCTCATTCTGCCTCTTGCTCCGTCTTGTCAACCACACGGCCTCCTCTCCTGCCTGGAAGGGGGGCGCGCTCCCCACTCCGAGACGGTGGCTGGCTTTCTTCCGCATGAAATGGTCCCGACGGGCTGTTCCCACGCACTCCCAGCTCCCCTCTCACTCTTGCTCGCACGCCAAGATCGCTGCCTTCAGGAAGCCTTCCTTGGCTTCTCAAGCAACGTAAGGGTCTTTATCACCTGGGGGTGTAAAACTGAACTTCTCTCCTCCCTTCTCTCTTCTCTTCTCTCCATTTTTCCTTTCTAATTTTCTTGTCTTTCTATTTTTAAATTTTATACTTGAGTAGAGACGACTGACCATGTGGTGTCTGTTTCAAGTGCGCGGCACACTGACTCAGTTCTACACGCACACGCATCTGTTTGTGGACCTTCCATGACGTCAGTGATGGATCGGTATCGGCCCTCTGGGTTCGGCGGTGAGCCCCAAGAGACCCGGAATCGTGGAATAAGTGAAGAACCCTGCTGTAACATTTTACAAAGTTGAAGAAACAGGTGCTTGAACATTCACCAGAGTGTGACGTTAGGGTCCACGGGCTTCTCACCGTATGTGGATGTTCTGCCTCCTATACCATCTTTGAAATCCAGAAGTGCGTTTGGGAGTTTTTCCCTGCATTTCCACAACAGATCACTGAATATACAAAAAAATTCGGGGGACTTGTAAATGGTCCAATCAATATGCCTTGAGAGATACTGGAGTGGTGCCCTCATAGCTACCTCTGTATAACCGGGTTCTTTCCCGGAAGTGGAAGTGCAGCTTCAGAATTTCTAATTTTTTCCAAAAAAAACTGAAGCAGCATCTTCACACATACACCCCAGAGGGTTTCATCAGATTGCTTCCAGAGACACTGCTTCCCTTCCTTTCCCTACAGCTGCTTGCTTCTTGAAAAAACTGGCTCAATGATATCATGCAACCTTGAGCTGTAAAATAATTCAAATTTTAGATAAAATGAAATATAATAGTTTCTAAAACTGATCATTGTAAAGACTATAAAGTAAAGATAATATATCTCATACAACATGAGTGCCTAGCACATTATATAACATTATATCTTATATCAGCCAATTATCCTAATTATTACTATATATTCTAATTTTACATATAGAGAAAATCAATATGCAAAATTAAAATTATGCAATGATGTCAGGATGATGTGTTAATGGGTAAGTGTGAAAGTGTTAGTCGCTCAGTCGTGTCCGACTCTTGCGACCCCATGGACTGCAGCCCACCAGAGTCCTCTGTCCATGGGATTCTCCAGGTAAGAATGCTGGAGTGCATTGCCATTCCCTTCTCCAGGGGATTTTCCCTACCCAGGGATCAAACCTGGGTCTCCTGCATTGTAGGCAGATTTTTTACCAGTGAGCCACAAATTTATTATAATTAAAAAAATTTCAAATGGATAAATACACATAACTGAGGAAGCTGAAATTTCTTTTTTCACTAAATAAATATTTTATTCCATTTCATATAAATAATTAAAGCATTTTCATTGTTTTTTAGAATAACCAAATACTTGTGCTTTTTGGCTCACTTTTTATACTCTTACTGCACTTTCCAAAATATTTTTTAGTCCTGAAGTATAACAGCAGAATATTTTATTTTTAATTTTAAAAAGCAACCAACAGAATTTGAGAAAGGATTATCATATTCATTTTGACTGGGGAATTTTACTTTATTTTTCCAGGAGATATACTACCAGAGGTATAAAAATACACATCTCTTTGAATTTCACTTCCTGAAAAATAAACTTCTTAAGAAACAGAAGGAAGATTCAGAGAACTGGAATCAAGTCATCAGCTTTGTATAAGAAGTTCCTAAATAATACTTCAAATCAGTTAACTTCAGATGAGAAGAAAGGGGAAAAAAAGAGAGAGATGAAGAAGAGAAATGTGAAGATGGTTTCATGACATCTTTGTCTTTTTTTTTTTCATTTATTTTTATTAGTTGGAGGCTAATTACTTTACAATATTGCAGTGGTTTTTGTCATACATTGACATGAATCAGCCATGGATTTTCATGTATTCCCCATCCCGATCCCCCCTCCCACCTCCCTCTCCACCCGATCCCTCTGGGTCTTCCCAGTGCACCAGGCCCGAGCACTTGTCTCATGCACCCAACCTGGGCTGGTGATCTGTTTCACCCTAGATAATATACACGTTTCGATGCTGATCTCTAGAAACATCCCACCCTTGCCTTCTCCCACACAGTCCAAAAGTCTGTTTGCACATCTATGTCCTTTTTAATTAAAAACAAAACAACCCCCCCCCCCCGCCTTGCGCTCTCTGTGGGGCTAACTCAGGACAAGGCCATCAGGCAGGGAGCGGATTTCCTTCTCAGATCCAATTAGGAGCTTCCTCTGCGGTGGGGCCTCACTAGGAGCTGCTCAAAAGCTGGCTGAGAGCTCTGTTCCAGGAATACAAATTCTCCATCTAAATGCTTTTAAGGATGGAAAGAAAAGATAAAGCTATCTCGAAAATTCAGTATCCTAAAGGAAAATGTACTTCAAGTCAACAAGCATGTATTTAATTTGAAATATTCTATAGGGCTTACAGCACAAACAACCTTACCGGGGGAGACAGACATCCAGTTCTCTAAATCAGTATGAAGTAATTGGCAAAACAGAATTACCGGGGAGGAAACAGTGAAACTGGCTGGACAGATTTCTTAGAAGAAGTGTTGCAAGAGCTGACCCTGGAAGGAGTGTGTGGAGCAATACCACAAATAGAGCTGACTACGGATAGGATGCAGGGCTTCCCCTGAGCCATGCTGTGCCGAGACTTTCCGTCGTGCCCCACTCTTTGTGACTCCATGGACCGTAGCCCGCCAGGCCCCTCTGTCTATGGGATTCTCCAGGCAAGAATACTGGAGTGGGTTGTCATTTCCTTCTCCAGGGGATCTTCCCAACCCAGGGATCAAAACCACGTCTCCTGCGTTGCAGGCCCTTCGCCCACGGAGCCTTCGAGGAAGCCCCTCAGATAGTGCTGTTCGGTTGCCCAGTTGTGTTCACCTCTTCATGACCCCGTGGACCGTAGCCCGCCAGGCCCCTCTGTCCATGGGACTCTCCAGGCAAAAATACTGGGGTGGGTTGTCATTTCCTTCTCCAGGGGATCTTCCTGACCCAGGGATGCCAATCCCTACCACCATCTATGCTGCCTTCTGATCTGGAAATCAGGAAATGTGGACTGCAGACAGCTTCAATGCCAAAAGTAATTTTCTGGATCTCCTTTTTCCCCCTAAAATTTGAGAAGTATTTGAGGTTGGATTATTTTTAGACTCCTTTCCAGCTCTGAAATTCTGAGGATAAACGCTCCCAGAAACAGGAAATAGCCCAATAAAAGGTGCTGGGCAGCAAAACAATGGAGGAAATGTCAGGAGGGGGATTTCTAATGTAGTCTGTTGCTAAATTCTCGATTCTCAAATATTCAAGCAAAAAAATAAAAATAAAACCTTTACTCAAACGTTAGTGCTTTTGAGGAAGTTTTCAGTTAAAGATTTCACTATTAACTAATTATTTATGGTGCCCTCTTGGTCTTATTTTAACAAACTATATATATTTTGCTGTAGCTTAAAATGAGTTCTAATAACAATCTTTCAACCTTTACACCATGAAAGATTCCTTCTAACCAGACTTTAAGTAAATCATTATACATTTAAAGGTAACTTCTTCAGCATGGTTGAGTGAGTGAGTGAAAGTTGCTCAGTCATGTCTGACTCTTTGTTCCCCCCATGGACTGTAGCCTTCCAGGCTCCTCTGTTGATGGAACGTACCAGGCAAGAATACTGGAGTGGGCTGCCACGCCCTTTGCCAGGGGATCTTCCCGACCCAGGGATCAAACCATCGCAGTTGGATTCTTCACCAACTGAGCCACCTGGGAAGGCCCAGCCTGGCTGCTGAGTGTTTAATATGCACAGGGTGTTATCCTGGGTCCTCATCAGGTAACCATCTCCTTGAAATCCTCAAGATGTGGACTGTCCAGCTCTTTCAGAGAAAAAGATTATAAAGTAGTCAAAATGTTTTGCATGTGCCAATTATGTTTATCTGCCAAACACAAACTGATATCGTCTAGGTAGAGCACCAGTGGCTAAAATAATTGAGAGAGAATACAAGGGGCACCTCCTGCTGCCCTAACGCTCTGTTTAGATAAAGCAGTAAAGTCAGCGTGTGGTGATAACACCATTGGGTTGGCTTGTTTCCAGTTGGAGCGGCCTACTCGTCAATGTCCATAAACTGAGGAATATCGGAGAGAAATGCTTCTACAGTGCGGGCTCTGCATTGTTCCTCCTCTCTTATGCCAGATTGTTACCAGTGATGCAAGATTATTTTCCAGTGCTTTCAAGCTGGCAAGAAATAATGAGATGATTAAAAATAGGATCAAAATTTCAAGCAAAGAAATGCAGGGGAAGCATGGACCTGGAACACGCAAGGTAAATTTATCAGGGGATAAATATAAAAATCCTAAAATCAGGCTATCAAGTACACTATTCAGGCTTGCAGGCATTATTAAAACAGCTTGATGGATAAATACTTGGGTTGTCTACATGTCTCAGCTTAATAAGAACAACCTTTGATAAAGCTGTTAAATAAATACACAAATTACTAGACTGCTTAACTTTTCTACATAAGAGAGAAGAGGCAATATTTGAATTGCAGTGTTCAGTTCTGAGCTTTAATATTAAGAGAGACATCATTTTCTGCAGAATACGTTCACAGCGGGGAACCTCACACCAAGAGAGATTTTAGAATATATATTCATCGCTCTGTCCATATTCAAGTATACTTACTGAAAACCCATTCCATAGAAGGAAGTTGGAATATAATATTAGTCAAGACCGAAAATTCAAGTAGCCAGTGCTAGACACGCAAGGCCCCAGGGCCAACAGACACCAGAGTTCCGAGTCAAACAAGCGTCAGCATGTCTGCAGGGCGTGAGATCCAGACACTCTGCTCTTCGTCAAACGATCCTCTTCCTGGTGGGCAAGTGAGCCCTGTCTCCCAGGAACTGTCCTCATTGTACCTTGACCTTACACCTCTAGACAGAGTTCACACAACCCCAACATTCCCTGCCCCAGTAAACTCAAAACCTTCCACAAAGTACTGCAGCTCCCACCGAGCTTCGAGTTTCTGTAGCGACCTCTGTCCGTGGGCTCCATCACCTTCTTGTTGT